CATGCCCAGGACCTGGAACAGTGCAGGGAACAGAGACGGCGCTCAGCACACATTTGATGTGTGAACGAATGACTATGTGTGGGGAAACCTTTGAATCTCAGGGCTCTGCCGCCTCCACTCTCTCTACCCCCACCTTGGCAGATGGAGACACGGCTCCAGGGTGGGCGTGTGGGGTCGGGGTGAGGATCTACCCAGGGCCAGCTGTATGGCCCCTACCCCACCCCAGCCGGGACTGCCTGGCACCAAGCAGGCCCTGCTGTCAGGACGCTCGAGGTAAGGTGTGGCCTCAGCTGCTGGGCATGCAGGGGCAGGGGTGGGTCCTGGGCACAAGCCCAGGCATTCACACTCCCCTCTGCTGCTGGGCCCTATGGTATGCCGGCAGCTTGGCCTCAGCACTGCCCTGGACCCATCCCCAGGCTGGGAAGAAACTCCCTCTGGGAACCCCTTGGGCTCACGGCCACCCCGGCTCTGCCTGCACCGGTGTACCTCTGCAGACGCCCCCTTGGGGATGGTGCCCACACCGCAGCTCTGCCCGAGCGCCTTTCACATTCCCAGTCTCTCAAGTGTGGATGGATGTGGGACCTGTGCACTCCCAGTGGTCAGGCCCCCACTCCTGAGCTGAGGTAGCCCCTGGCCCACATGGAAGCCCTTTCTTTGAGGGTCCGGAGCCCCCAGGCTGGGTGCCTCACTAACAGCCCTGCTCTGCCTGCTCTCCCTCAGAAGTAGACACAAGTGCACCCTCTGCCCCCTCCTCTCTCTCTGCAGAGTGGGCTCCGGAGCCCCTGTAAGCTCAGCCAGGTAGGGCCTTACGTGCAGTGGGGTTTGGGGAGATGGGGGCCAATGGACATCAAAGGACAGAGGGGACACAGGGCAGGGACCCCGCCACCCCTGACGCCAGCAGGGGCCCTAAGCCCTCACCCCCTGTCCTGCAGTCCGCCTACCAGGCTAGGCCAGACCCTCAGCCAGTGAGGGTGCCTGGTGTACTGCCTCCAGCCCTGCTTGGCCTGAAACCTCCGAGTCCCCAGCCCTGCCCTCCACAAACCTCCAGGGGCCTGATGAGTGCACAGGGTCCAGGGGACAGAGGGGAGGTAAAGCAGCAGGGAGGGCTGGTGGGGAGGGGCTGGTGGGGAGGAGGTGGGGAGGGTGTTGGTAGAACGGGGGCATGGTGTGGAGGGTGTACAGTGGGGAGGGTGCAGGTGAGGGGGGAGCAAGGTGGGGAAGGGCACAGTAGGGAGGGGCTGGTGGGGAGGGAGGAGGTGGGGAGGGGGTGTGGTGGGCAGGGGCACAGTGGGGAGGGGACAGGTAGAGAGGGGGCAGGTGGGGAGGGGGACAGGTGGGGAGGAGGCAGGTGGGGAGGGGGCAGGTGGGGAGGGGGTGAGGAGGGCGTTGATAGGAAGGGAGCATGGTGGGCAGGGGACACAGTGGGGAGGGTGCAGGTGGGGAGGGGGCAGGTGGAGAGGGGGCAGGTGGGGAGGGGGCAGGTGGGGAGGGGCAGGTGGGGAGGGGCAGGTGGGGAGGAGGCAGGTGGGGAGGAGGCAGGTGGGGAGGGTGCAGGTGGGGAGGGTGCAGGCGGGGAGGCCCTGTGGGGAGGCCTGGTGGAGGCCCAGGTGGCTCCTTGTCGCCCCAGGGTGGGGGTCCCTCCCGGAGGCAGGTGGGGAGGCGGCGGGGATGGCTGGGCCTGAGCGCAGTTGCACCAGGTCCACAGGAGGGGCTCCGGCAGCCCAACGGCGCCCCCTGCAGGCTGCTGGGGCCCAGAGGCTCAGGCAGAAGCCCCAGGAGTTGGGCTCCCCAGAGCACCGGGGCAGCCAGGGCGCACAGGTTCAACCCCTCCAACCCACCGCGAGGCGGTGCGCACCCTGCTACTTGAGTGCACCTCAAAGAAGGCCCGGGCTCAGGCAGAAGCCCTCCTCCGGCTTCGTCCAGCCCCAGCCCTGTGGGGACCGGGCTTTTCCCCAAAGTGCTCCTGCCCCACACAGACCTCCCTAAGAGAGACAAAGGACATTTGTCCAGCCCAGTAGGGCAGCCCCGAGCCTGGGCTTGAGTGCCGACCCCGGGGTCCTTCCCAGAAGGTGGAGCGATGGGTTGGAGCAGGGACCTCTGGCACCCACTTGGGCTTGTAGCGACCCTCTCTGGCGTGGACTTTGGGGGACCTAGAGGGGTCTGGGGTTCAGCCTGGGCTGGGGACAGCCCCTGAGCCCATGGGAGGGTGACCTGAGCCTGCCTGGGGGCTGACTGTACTCAGGTTGGCTCAGGTTGGCCAGGGCAGGGTGATGGCCGTAGCGAGGACCTGGCTGGGAATGCTCAGCTGTGCTCAGCCTGTCTTGGCCTATCTCCTTCCCCGCCCACCCTCTCTTCCACCCAGCCCCGTGGCCTGCGAGCCCTGGAGAGGGAGCATGGGAGTCCGCTTGGAGGCGCGGCTCCACTGACCCTGTTGAAAGGATCTTGACCAGCCCAGGGAGGTAGCTGTGGACCCTACTCCTAGGGATGGGGGGGGTGTTTCATAGACCTGGCTTCTCCACGTGGGGCTGAACCCTGCACTGCCCTTGGGATTCGCATGTTGGCTGCAGGGGCAGCTGGGCAGTGGGTGGGCATCAGGCTGGGCAGCCCCTCGGATGGTGGGGTCTCGTCCTGCCTGAGACCAGCGGCTTGTACCACAGACACGCGTTTCTCCGGGTTCTGGAGGCGCCAGGTCTGGATCAGGGTGCTGGCGTGTCGGTGCCTCCGAAGCTCTGTCCCAGCCTGCCTTCTTCCCGAAAGTACGCTAATCCCAGCAGACCAGGGCCTCACCCTCACACCCTCATCTAACCCTCACTCCTCCCTTCTGTGGGGCACATTGGGGGTGATTCCGAGCCCTGCCCTGAGCTGTGGGAAGGGCAGAGCAAGCTGAGCGCTGCCTCCAGGACTGTGCATGACTCCCACGGAGGCGATCCTCGGCCAGCTCCTGTTTCCTTGAGCCCCCGTCCTGGCGGGAGGCCCACAGGGCAACTGCGTGGCCGTGCAGGGGTCCGGGCTGCGGAAGTCCAGGCCACGGCTGCATGCCCAGCTCAGGTCATGTTTACCAGGCAGGCCACTGCCAGGGCCCCCACCCGGCCTCGCAGCCCTGAGTTAACTCAGGCTCCAGGATAAACACCCATTCAGCCACACAAGGCCCCTTTGTCCTGGGAGAGAGGCTCCCGGCCCAGGATGCTGCCTGGTGGCCGGTGTCCTCGGCGCAGCCCCAGGCCCGGCCGGCTGCCCCGACACGTCCAGCCGCCCCACATGGCCTTCTCAGGGCAGGCTTCAAGCTTGGCTCAGAGAGGCCCAGTGGGGGACAGGGCCCTGGGCAGCTGTCAGAGGAGCCAGGAGGCCAGAGCGGCAGGGCTGAGGAGGATCTGGCCGCTGCCTTGTGTCCTGAGACCTCGGCAGAGCAGACCTGACCCGGCAGAGGGAGCTGGGCGCCCTGAGGCCGGACATGCCTGTGGCAGTGGGGAGGCAGAGGCGGGCCGTGTTACCCAGGAGGCAGCTGGTGAGCTCTGGAGGCTCCAGGGCCCTGCTGTTCCCCCATATCCTCAGCCCTGAGCAGGAGAGGGAGCCTCACACCCTGTGCTTGGTCCACCTCCCCCAGCCAGTGGTCACCGGCCTGTGTCTGTGTCTTGTCTGTGCAGTGGCCGTGGCAGGCCCTCAGAGGCCCTCAGCCAGGGACTGCCCCTATCATCACCCAGGCTCAGGGCTGAGATGGGGGGTGTCCCTTTGGGGCGGGGAGGGGTGCGATGGTCCCAGGAGGCCATCAGGAGGTGCTGCAGGAGCATAGGTGGGCTGTGGCCGGGGAGAGGAATGGCCCCCAAAGCCCCCTGAGGCCCATCCTGTCTATGCCCCAGCCATGCCTGGCCATGGGTGCTGTGGCCATCCATCTCTGTGCCAGGCTCCCTCCTCCAAATATGCAAAGAACAGACCCATCTCCCCACCCGTGGGGACACCCCAGTGGCCACGCAGGCTGAAGCCCCACCTACTTCTCAGCCTCCCTGGCCGTCCACGTGGCTTCCCAGCACCCCGGCCCCACCCCTCCAGGGTGTCACTCACCTGGTCCGGTCCCTGCATTGTCCGTGGTGGCAGTGACCCCTGGCGGTGGCTGGGCGTGCTGTTGCGCCCACCTGAGGGCCAGTCCTGGGCTGCTGCTCACCAGGCCCACGGGGCAGCTTACAGAGCCTCAGGAACAGGTCCTGGGACTGTGACCCCCAGGCTCAGACACTCCTGGGGGCACACGCCTGCAGCCGGGTGTAGGCCACAGTCCCTCTGTGTGGGGATCCCCACTCTCCACCGATGGGAAAAAATGGCTTTCCTGACACAGCAGCAGCACCAGCCCCCGGAAGAGGTTACAGCGCCACCCTCAGTCCCGCCCAGCCCTAGGAGGCCCTGGCCCCCTGGCTCGTGCTGGGGTCCTAGGTGCCATGGCTGAACCTGGCAGCATCTCTCAGCTCTGTGCCCAGCGTTCCTGGGATGCCCCAACTGGGCAGAGGCTCTGCCAGGGCTCCTGGAAGTGGCCTGAGCTCCAGTGCACCGGCCCACGTGTGAGACCTGCAGGGGCTGCTGGAGATAGGGCTGGGACTTGGGGAGGAAACCCTGCCATCTGGAGACAGGTCTTCCTCAGGGAAGCTGGCTTTGCTCTGAAGCCTCCACGTCCCTGACGCTGATGGCAGCTGAGCAGCTGCACTGCAGGGGCCTCCCTCCACACCCACACCCAAGTGAGGCTCAACCAGCTGGGGCTGAGGCTCTCCATGTCGGCACCAGCATCAGTACCATCACACACACTTGGCTGTTCATGGTTTCTGTTTTACATGAAAACTCGAGTCCATCTAACTGATGGGTGTACTTGAGGCCAGAACCGTGTGGCTGACCCAAGGTGGCGGGGGTAGACTGGGCAGGCCTGAGCCCCCTCCAGCCACTGGCTGTCCCTGCGGGTTGGCTCAGCCTCAGGCCAGAGCAGAGAAACCTTTGCTTCACTGAGACCAGAGCAGCTTCAGAGTTTACATTGAAAGGAAACTTTATTTAGTCATCTTTTCAAAGCAATCGAGTTTTAAGACATAAAAAAGAAAATGACACCTAAGAGAATTGGACAGTACAGCTGGATAGACGCACAGACAGGAGGGGCTGCAGCTCTGGGTCAGATCTTCGCCATCTTGGAGATGAGGTCGTCACAGATCCTGGTCAGCTCCTCATTCTCTTTAGTCTGGAGGAGAAAGATCAGTTTCGGAAGGAGCAGCAGGCCCAGGGGCCTTCCAGAAGCTGCTGCCACAGGGCCCCGTCGGCTGGGCTCCCCCACCCACCTTCTCCTCCACGGTCCTCTCCAGCGACTGGACCCGCATCTGCTCCTTCCTCAGGCTGGCCTGGAGGGCCAACACTTCCGCCTGGGCCTTGCTCCGAACCTGGGCGATCTCCTCGTTTGCCCTGGAGGAACAGGGGCAGGGGCAGGGCAGAAGCTGAGCTGCGGACCAGGCACCCACTCTCCCTCTGGGGGCCCTCGCCCAGCACTCACAGCTGCAGCTTCTCCTCGGCATGGGCCTTCAGGGCCTGGTACCTCTGGCCTGCCTGGGTGATCCTCGCCAGGTAATCCTCCACACACTTCTTGAGTGATTCTTCATTCTAGGAAGGGGCAGGCATTAGCTGTGGGCACTACACGATCTGTGAGCGCCCAGGCTCGGTGTCTGGGGGTCATCAGTCATGATGCAGCACCTCCAGTTTTCCTTTTGAAAACATCCCCTCTACATGTCCCCAGCTCACCCCCTCTGGAGTTTCAGAGATGCCAGGCCTAACCCTGGTACCCTTGCAGCTGCACCCAGGACCACTGACCGTTTGGCCTGTCTCCCTCTGGGGCTGAACCCTGTGCTTTGGGGGCAGGCAGGGGAGGCCGACTAGAGCCACATGGTCCCCAGACACATCTGCTCCCCACAGCCCTGGGGTTCCTCGCCCCCAAGTGGCCTCTGCTCGCTCAGCCCACCTGCCCTCTTCCTGCAGTGCCTGTGGCAACCTCACAGCCCAGCCTCCCTCCTCTGTTGCAACCATATCTCCCAAGAGCACCCTCAGCACCGTGGCCTCTCCCTGAGCCCTGACCCAGCACGCAGCCCACGATGCCCCGTGCAGGCCATGCCTCCCCTAAACCCACAGCCCTGTGTGTCTCTGCAGTGGAAAGTTCTCAACGGCATCTCTCCAGAAGGCGGCGACCAGAAGCTCTTGGGTGTACACAGGTCAAGCATCCCACCACAGCACTGCCTCTCCCTCTGGCTTGGGCTGCTGTCCACGCTGGCTCCCAACTTACCCTCTGCTTCCCTCCTCCGACCTGTGCTCTCTGAATTGCTCACTGTGTACCTGTTAGGAATTTCCATTTGGTTCTTTTCTACTTTCTGTATTTTTTGTTTTTTTTTGAGATGGAGTCACACTCTCACCCAGGCTGGAGTGAAGTGGCACGATCTTGGGTCACTGCGACCTCCACCTCCTGGGTGCAAGCGATTCTCCTGCCTCAGCCTCGGAGTAGCTGGGACTACAGGCCTGCGCCACCACGCCTAGCTAATTTATTTGAGACAGAGTTTTGCTCTGTTGCCCAGGCTGGAGTGCAATGGCATGATCTTGGCTCACTGCAACCTCTGCCTCTTGGGTCCAAGCGATTCTCCTGTCTCAGCCTCCTGAGTAGCTGGGGTTACAGGTGCACGCCACCATGCCTGGCTGATGTTTGTATTTTTAGTAGAGGTGGGATTTCACCATATTGGTGAGGCTGGTCTTGAACTCCTAACCTCCCATCCACCTCAGCCTCCCAAAGTGCTGGGATCACAGGCGTGAGCCACCACACCTGGCCCAATTTTAGTGGATGGGGTTTCAACATATTGGTGAGGCTGGTCTGAAACTCCTGACCTCAGGTGATCCAGCTGCCTTGGCCTCCCAAAGTGCTGGGATTACAGGTGCGAGCCACTGTGCCTGGCCTTTTGTCTTTTTAGTAGAGACAGGGACAGGGATTTTCTGTATTGGCCAGGCTAGTCTTGAACTCCTGACCTCATGCCATCTGCCCATCTTGGTCTCCCAAAGTGGATTCTTTTCTAGTTTCCAGGTCTCTACTGAGGCAATGCTTTTTTTTTTTTAAATACAAAAACATGGAGCGCTTCACGAATTTGCGTGTCACCCTTGCGCAGGGGCCATGCTAATCTTCTCTGTATCGTTCCAATTTTCTTATATGTGCTGCCGAAGCGAGCACGGCAATACTCTCTTGAACACAGAAGACGATTACCTTCAAGTCTGAGTCTGCACTGGGTCCTCCATGATGGGGTTAGGTGTACAAAGAAGCCTCCATGAGAAAGTGGGGAGGTGGCTGGTGGGAACGGAGGCACAGGCCTGCCCCGGGGAGAGGTGAGGCCAGGACAGCAGCTTGGACCACAGCCCAAGCTGAGGGATGGCCAGCAGAGCTGCCGTGTCCTCAAGCCAGTGGCACCGCGTGAGGGGTCCCACTGCTGCGGCGGGCACTCTGCTGCTGCCAGCTCCAGCGGCTGGGAATCCCGTGGGTCTAAACATTTTTTTTTTTAATTTTAGAGACAGGGGTCTGGGTCTATGGCCCAGGCTGGAGTGAAGGGATACAATCACAGCTCACTGCAGCCTCGACCTCCTGGGCTCAAGTGGTCCTCCCACCTCAGCCTCCTGAGTCGCTGGGACCACAGGCACACACCACCATGCCTCACTCTAATAACTGGTTCTGATTTTCAATCGTGTTGCCTGTTTCTTTCATACTTGGTTATTTTGTGCCAGACACTAATTTAAAACTCTGTAGCAGCAATTTAAGGCGGAAGATACAGTCTTCTGTAGATTCTTCAGGCTTCTCTTAGGCAGCTGTGCCCCGGCCACTGAGGCCTACCTGACATCAGAACTGAGAGAAGGTGTGGCTCAGCCAGGCGTCACAAGGGCCCCTGTTCTAGCCGAGTCTGACTCCCAGGGCCCCCATCTGGCATCCCCAACCCCTTGCAGCCACATGTCAGCCCCTCTTCCAGGTGTGCCCACAGGCCCAGCTCCTGGACGGCAGGTGGTGAGCACCTCTGTTACAGCTCTGCTGCTGCAGGCAGAAGTGTCTGGCGGCCTCGCAGCCCCTCCCAGGTCTGCTCTGGGCAGATGGCTGGCCCAGACATCCCTCCTTCCAGCAAGCCTGTGGGCTTTGCCCAGCATAGAAGGCAGAGGGGACTCAGAGGCCTGTGGCCGGGACACGAGGGTAGCCTGGCACAGCCATGCTCACCTTTCTGTGGGCCTCCTGCCTTGTATACCACATGCCCCAGGTCACGCTGTAGCAGCCCAGGCTTGACCCCCTTTCCAAGATGCCCCATGCCCCGGTGCACCCATGCAGTCTCGAATCTCACAGGCACTTGGTCACAGCCAAGTCATCCTTCGCACAGCGGCAGGAGCTCAGACGGCCTCCCTCTTGCCTGGCCTCCTGCAACCCTCAGTGCTTTGCAAACTGGCTATGCTGTGACTCCAGCACCTGTCTCTTCACAAGCCACCCAGGCCCGAGTGGCAAGGGGAGGCTTGGCCAAGGACGAAGGTGCAAAGACAGCAGCTGGCAGCCCTGCTGGCCTGGCCCGTGAGCCCGCCAGCCTCTGCGGGGAAGACACCGGGTGGCAGGGACTTACCTTGCGGTACCCCTCAATCACCTCCTTCTGTTTCTCAAAGCGTTTGAAGAGGTCAGAGAAGGACTTCTCCATGGAGTTCAGATCTGCAGTCAGGTGCTCTTTTTCTTTTAGAACTTTCTGGATGTCGGCTTTGGCAAGTTCCTTCTGTTTCTGAACCTCCTCTTGAGAAATGAAAAGCAAATGTTCAGGATGAGGTGACAGAAACGCAGAGTGCCAAGACAGCCCCAGGAATGCAGCAAGGGGCTCCAGTGCCAGGAGAGGAAGAGGGAGGTGGGTGTCAGCCTCCAGGAGGAGAGGAGGAGGGAGGTGGGTGTGAGCCTCCAGGAGGACAGGAGGAAGGAGGTGGGTGTGAGCCTCCAGGAGAGGAGGAGGGAGGTGGGTGTGA